TTGGCTTGTTGATGAGGAGTGTGAGGATATCATTAAGGGAGCTTGGGAGGGATGTGCGACTTTAGATGTAATTGGGAAAGTGGCTGTGGTGGGTAGGAAGCTATTAAACTGGAGTGAGGAGCATTATAACAATTTAGGAAAGCAGATTGCAGATGTTGAGTATGCGTTGCAAAGAGCGCAGGAGAAACCGATTAATGATGAAAGTTGCAAAGAATGTAGTGACCTTGAGCTGCGGCTGGAAGAGTTGGAAGGTAAGTATGAGTCTTATTGGCACATATATACGATCTAGAGTGGCGGAGGTTCAAGAAGGGGATAGAAACACGAGTTATTTTCACCACAAAGCTTCTCAACGCCAAAGAAAGAATACAATTTGTGGCCTTTGGGACAAAGATGGGATATGGAGGGTGGAGGAGGATGATATTGCTGCGGTAATCAGTGACTATTTCGGAGGCATATTCACATCTTCGAGGCCCACCAATGATGATATCGACCGAGTTCTTAATAAGGTGCCTGCCTCAGTATCTCAAGCCATGAATGATAGACTCAACCGACCGTACACAAAGGATGATGTTCACTCGGCACTCAAGCAAATGCATCCTAATAAAGCCCCGGGTCCGGATGGTTGATAAGCGCACATTAGGGCGCGCTTTAAGGCATATAAATGGGTGATTTTGGATGTATTTAGGCCCGTTTTGGTCGTTTATTGCCTTGTTACACTCGTTTCCCTCATATTACATGCTTCACGGGTTTCGGTCTGTTTTTGGTGTGTTAACAGGTATAGTTGACCAAGTTATGTCGAGATTCATTAGTTTTCTTGAAGATTATTCTAGCGATTTTAGTTTCTTGGATTGATTTGAAGCAAGATTTGTGAAGAATCTTTGTATTATTCATTGACGACGGTTATCAAAGTTCTGAACTTTTCCATTGATTCACATCAATACAATTGGTATTATTCATTCTTGTTTATTAATCTAGCTTTATTATTCCTTAATCAGAATTTATGTTTAGATCTATGATGTTTATGGAATCTATTATTGCTGTGATTATGAATATGTGTGAGTAGTTTCCTAGCTAGGGTTTCGGGATGAAACCCGGCCTAGGTAATCTACGTAATTAAGGTTTGATTTTGATAAACGGATTGTGATTAAATTGATTATATGCGATTGCATGTTAATTCACTATAATAGGAGTAGCTAACCTAGAATCTTGAATTTGATTGCATGTTATTCTTGGTTTGAACAAGAGATTGTGAATTGAGTATTTCATTATTGAATGTGGTTTGATTATGTATCGAGTAATGTTAAGTGCATGAGAAATCCAAGCTTGGTATTGCCCGTTGTCTTCCTATCACACGATATTGATCAGACATATAGTCTTTGCTTATCCCGTTTGTCTCTATGATTCCTTGTTGCGTAGTTACCGATGGTTTGGTGAATTCCCGTTCTCCCTAGTGTCTTAGTTTATTGATTTATTCCATCTTATTAGTAGTATTTTAGAACACCATTTTCCATTGATTTCGAACTAGCTTAGGTTTAAGATTGATTTGCAATTACTCTCGTTCCTCGTGGACCGAACCTTTATTTGCCATTGTACTTGGTTATAGGGTGTTCGTATAAGTATTGTTTGATTGAGAGTTAGATTGTAGCGACCGATTTAACCCTTGCCAATGGTATGCATGCTATTTTTTATCAACGTTTTTGGCATATTGTTGGTAATGATGTAGCAAATTTTGTTATTGGTGTTCTAAATGGTAATCCCCTCCCGGAAAATATAAACAAAACAAATATTGCTCTCATCCCTAAAATTAAAGAACCAAAATTTGCTGCAGAATTTCGCCCTATTAGCCTGTGTAATGTAATCTATAAACTCATCTCTAAATGTCTAGTGCTTAGATTGAAAAATGTTTTAAAGGAGATCATTACGGAGAATCAGAGTGCCTTTGTCCCGGGTCGCTTGATTACTGATAACGCGTTGATAGCTATGGAATGTTTCCACTCTATGAAGAAAAGGAGTACAGGTCGAAAGGGCCACATTGCTATGAAGTTGGACATGAGTAAGGCCTATGATCGGGTAGAATGGGGGTTTTTGTGTCAGTTGCTTTTGAAGATGGGCTTCGACGGAAGATGGGTTAATTTAGTGATGAAATATCGTCGGTGAAATATTCATTTGTGATCAATGGAGAGGTGTGTGGTGCAGTGACCCCTACTAGAGGTCTACGGCAAGGTGACCCTCTTTCCCCTTACTTATTTATTATTGTGGCTGATGCTTTCTCTCACATGCTACAGAGTAAGAGAGCAATAGGCGATATTCATGGTGTTAAAGCAAGCAGAAATGGTCCAGAAATTTCTCACCTTCTTTTTGCAGATGACAGTCTCCTCTTTACTAGAGCTAATCGACAGGAATGCTCAAACATTGTTGATATTCTCAACCAGTACGAAGCAGCATCTGGGCAAAAAATTAATTATGAAAAATCAGAAGTGTCTTTTAGTAGAGGGGTTGGAACTGAGCAAAAGGAAGAAATCCTGGGAATTTTGAAAATGAAGCAGGTTGAACGCCATGATAAATACCTAGGCATTCCGAATATATTGGGGAGGGCGAAAAGGGGTGTTTTTGATGCAGTCCTAGACAAAGTGTGGAAGAATATACAGGGGTGGAAAGAAAAGCTGTTATCCCAAGCCGGGAAGGAAATCCTTCTGAAGTCCATAATCCAGGCAATCCCTACTTACCTTATGGGAGTCTATAAATTTCCTACGGAGGTTATTAGGAAAATTCATTCGGCAATGGCCAACTTTTGGTGGGGGCAAAGTGAAGACCGGAAGCGCATCCATTGGAAGAGCTGGGATTCCCTTTGCACCCTTAAATGCTTAGGAGGAATGGGCTTTCGTGATTTGGCAGTTTTTAACGACTCTCTTCTAGGTAGACAATCTTGATTGATTGTTTTAGTTCTATGCAATTAGATTAGGCCCAATTTATTATATTAGTATGACAATATTGATTTTATTAATCGAGGGATGTAATTTTAATATTAGGGCTAGTTTCAAAGGTAAATTTTTTTTTTTGACAACTTCAAAGGTAAAATTGAAATTAATAAATGTGAGAGCCTGTTAATCTGATTAATAAACGCGCTAATCTAATTACGTACTCCCTCCGTTCTTTTATTATATGCTTATTTCTCATTTTGCACGAGAATTAAGAAAGTTAAAGATTCCTTAAAACTAATAATTGGGAGTATAAATATGCATGTGAGGTTAGAGAGAGATAGAGAGAAAGAAAAATTGGTTGGGAATTAGGAGAGAGAAAGTATTGGGAATTGATGTCAAAATACAAAAAAGAAAAGAAAAAGGATGACAAATCATAAAAAGAAAATAATATTATCAAAAAGTACAACCTATAAATAGAAACATGCACTTAATTTTGATGACAAAAAAACGAATACAACTATATAATAAAAAAGGACGGATTGAGCAGTATTTTTATAAAGAGCTCTTTCCCTAAATAATGTTGGGAACTTATCTAATTCCCAAAATACAGCTAATCTTTTTTTAATTCCCAATCTACCGTCCACGTCAGCTAAGTGAAAAAAACCGGTTTTTTTTTTATCGGTCCAGCAACAAACCGCTACTTCAAGTAGCGGTTTATAAAATTAAAACCGCTACTTTAAGTAGCGGTTTATAAAATAGAAACCGCTACTTGAAGTAGCGGTTTTTGATGTAATTTTTTTAAAAAAAAAACTATCAATAAAATACAAAGAGAAGGGGAAAGTGATTTTTGACCACCACCCACAATAATAAAAAAAAAAAAAGTGCCGAGTTCTCTACCACCAATTGTTCATGTACTCCAAAATCTGGAAACACAGATAATTTGATACCAAAAAAAAAAAAAATTGATTATGTGTGAATTTTGCTTTGCTAATATCGATTTGATTGATCTGGGCAAAAATCCTTCCAGTTTTTTATGAATTGACAAGATTTTAACAGAAATTATAACATTTGTAAACATACAGTAAAAACTACTAGTAGAAATCTTATACTTTGTGCGTTTTGTACAAATTATTTGTAGGAACTATAGCATCTTTTTAAGGCTCAAAACGCTAAGTACGAACTATCAAACCTGAAAATGTCGAATTTTCTGCATATACACTGATTACTTCCTGCAGTATCAATCGCCAATAGTGGAACTAAATTGAAATCAAATCAAATTAACCACCACCACCACAACCTAGTAACCCCCACCTTAACCCACCCAAACACACCCAAACCAAACCAAGATCTACAACCCTAACCAAACAACCACCCAAAAATTAACAAAAAAAAAACATACCTTAACACCGAAATTGAATGTTAATTTCTCATCGAATTTGGTTTAATACGGCCAAATTCGATCATGAAGCCTCTAGATCTAGAGGTTTCATGGTCGAATTTGACCTGAATTACCATGCGACACCGGCGAGAAAGAAGGCAGACATCACCTCCAAGGAGCGTAGGTTGCGTAGACAGCACCTCCAATGGCGGAGGAGAGAGGAGGAGGGAGGAGAGAAGGAAAGAGGAGAGGAGTTCAGAGAGAAGAGGAAAGAGGAGAGGAGAGGAGAGAGAAAGAGAAGTGAGGCGTAGAGAGAGAAGAGGAGAAGGGGAAAGTGAAAGGAGGTCACTTACCCAGCCTTTACCTCCCATGCGTAGTTGAATGTAAAAAAACTTGGTAAATATAAACCGCTACTTGAAGTAGCGGTCTCTATTAAGAAAACCGCTACTTGAAGTAGCGGTTTTAGCGGTTTTTAATAAGAAAACCGCTACTTGAAGTAGCGGTTTTATTCAGTACATCGCTACTTGAAATAGCGGTTTGTAAAAAAACCAATTTAAAAAAAATTTCCACTGGACCGATGACGTGGACGGTATATTGGGAATAAAAAAAAAGTTGCTGTATTTGGGAAATTAGAGAAATTTTCAACATTATTTAGGAAAAGCATTCTTTTATAAAAGTTAAAATTAATGGTCTAGTTAAAAAAAATAAAAAAATGTAATGGTCAATGTTGGGTTACTCTGCTACTTGACCAAAAATGAGATATAATCTCCTCAGTTTACCCCGGTGGTGGCTGAGGAGAGGAGAGAGAAAATGGCGCCCGCCATAACTGTGGCTTCTTCTGCAATAGACGCTCAAACTCCATTTCTACCCTTGCAAGAAGAAACCGTCGATGGCGCCGTTGACTACAAAGGCTGCCCCGCAATTCGATCCAAACATGGTCGTTGGAGATCTGCTTCTTTCATCATTGGTTAGTTAATCAAACAAACCCATTTCCGATTTCATCAAAATCAATTATTTATCGTCTTCTTCGACGTGAATTTCACAGAATTTTTCTGAGGTTTTCGTTAATTTTGTAGGGGTGGAGGTTGCAGAGAGAATTGCTTATTATGGTATAACATCAAATTTGATTAGCTATTTAACTGGACCGTTAGGTCAGTCAACGTCTACTGCAGCAGCAAATGTCAATGCTTGGAGTGGATTTGGGTCTCTTTTCCCTGTTATTGGTGCGATTATTGCTGATTCTTTTCTGGGAAGATATCGCACCATTGTTGTAGCTTCCTTCATTTACATCTTGGTTAGTCTTTTCTTTATTTTAATCTATATTTGTTAGATTGATTTTTTTTTACAGTTTTGTTGGATTGATTTTGGGAGCTGAGCTTTTGGGTAATATAATATATATTCATGAGTATAATTAGATTAAGTCATATAATTAGTTGATATTTGTAGCAAAGTTTGTTGTGTTGAAGGTTCTTATTGATTACTAGCATGAATAATAGGAAATTGTTTTATGTATGACAATATCAATTTATTTGGATTTTTTAGAGTAGTTGGGGTGTAAATCTTTATTAAAGTTGATTTGATTTGATTAATTTGGCTACAAGACTAAAGGACCTTTTGTGCTTTAATTAATTTTGGATGATCGTGGCCGTCTTAATTGCCCACCTAAACCATGCTATGCTTCCTGTTTGTTGTTAAATAGTGTGTCATTTTGAGCATATTAAACAATGATGCAATGGAAACAGTTTTTCACTTTTGCAAGTAAGGCTGAATATTTTTGACTTTCGTACCAAGTGGTAACAATAACCTATACTAAGATAATGGTATCCTATGCAACCTTCAACCTTGTGATGGATGAATTGAATTATTTTGAACTCAGAATTCTAGCCCTTTGTTTTTGAATTAAGGATGACAGGTCCAAAATGTTAGACAAGTTATGTGGAAAATACTTTTCTCTCGTGCATACAAGCTTTTGATTTCGGTAATTGTTACCCCATCTTTTTGTTGAGCCTTGTTTTGGGGTGGGGATGATAACTGGCTTATATAAGTAATTGAAATCAAAGGGCTTGTGCCCATGATGATTGACAACATAGTGCTCGTTATATCCTACTAGTTAGACTAGACAAAAATATACTTCATCATTTTTAATTTTTATCACCTAGTGAGGTCAGTTGCATGGGCCATGTCAGAAACCTTGGATCTAAAATCTGTCTGAAAAGGTTGGTTATAATATACTTGTATCATACTTCCAACACCACCCCAATTATTAGAAGTTGGTGGTGGGGGAGTTTTATTCAGGCCTGTTAGATCCAGGCTAATAATTCATCAACTGCCCTACTACATTGCAAAACTTAAGAGGAGAAAATATTTAATTGCAATGTTAGTTTACCACTTACTATAAGTAACAGCATTGAAACTTCTCTATATCGACTTTCAACTGTGTTGGTCATTTTAATTTCTTGTATGAAGTATTCGCAATAAATTAATACTCGTAAAATACAAATTTATCCTGGTTTGCATATGTAAGTGGCTTTATATTTGATGTCTTTTCTGTTTATTGCTCATTTCTTGAGTCGTGAAATGGGTTTGGCCAAATGACAAAAGGCTATACAGTCAACTTGAGGTTCAGTAGCGGTTCAGCCGGTTACTGCCCTCAACCACATGCTTTTTTGAATGCATTTCTGGCCATCCCTTTTGAACTTCAATCACTTCTGATAACCGTAATTGAAGAGGGAATGCATATTGCTAACTTTTTGGCCTTTAAAGTTTTTCTGATTATAGTACATCTGCAATGCACTTACAGTCCAGTGATACTGTGTCAAAATGATAATGTTCTTGCTTTAGGTATAAGCTTTTATTTGTTATCTTCTTCCCGAGCAAGTCACTTTTTTAAATTCTGAGAGTTTCACATCTTTTCACTTGCCCTGCTGAAGGGATGCAAACTGGTCTTTGTTGTTGTTGCTTGTATTTCTTCTCCTTTTATTGGTAAAAGCTGTGGCTTGTTTCATACTTGTGTGAGATTTTTCAGTTCTTATCCAATGTTTTTCATTTGATAGGGGCTGGGCTTGTTAACTCTTTCAGCTGTGCTGCCCTTCAACAGTGAAGCGAACAGCATGAAGACCAGAACTGGCATGTTGTCTGATTCAGTTCCTTTCCAAACAATTTCAATATTTTTCTCTCTATATCTTGTGGCCATTGGGCAATCTGGTCATAAGCCTTGTGTCCAAGCTTTTGGAGCAGACCAGTTTGACGGACAAGATCCCCAGGAGAGCAAAGCCAAAAGTTCATTCTTCAATTGGTGGTACTTGGGCATGTGTCTTGGTCCATTGCTAGTAATCTCCGTCTTAAACTACATTCAGGATAATGTTGGTTGGGGCCTTGGATTTGGGATTCCTTGCATCATTATGACAATTGCTTTAGTGATATTTTTGCTTGGGAGTCAGACCTATAGGTATGTAATCTCAAGTGAAGAGCGAAGTGCATTTGTGAGGATTGGAAGAATATTTGCCACAGCAGCAAGGAATTGGCGTATAAAACAGTCAGCAATTGATGTTGAAGAAGAAGTTCAGGGATTCTTTCCTTCCCAAGGCTCTGAACAATTTCGGTAAGGATATACTTCTTGCTATTCCTACATCTTGCTATTCATGATATTCATGTAGATTTTTTTGGTAATTAGTCTAGCAACCATCAAGTGGTAATGAGTAGTTGAGTACAGATACTAGGGGTGTGGTTTTCTTATTTGGTCGAGGCCTTGAGGGAGAGAGTGGTGAGCTTGCACTTTTTTGATGCGTGGCTCCTCTCCTTTGCTATGTCCTAAGGCTAATCATAGGGCAAACAGTATGGTCCATTTCAGCATTGGATATTTGCCAGACACCTTTATTGGCCCAAAAATTCTGCCCAAATGGCTTTAAGCCAGATTAAGGAATAAAAATGCAATTTAGCCTTGGCCAATTACCAAAAGCAGCTACAATCTGTGGCATATAATTTTACTTATAATCATCCAGGGCTATTATACTTCATCAGCTCTGCAAGCCTGTTCTTTTTTTCAATCAGGGGAATAGAGGGGGAGGATTTGGCACTATTTCATTGTGATGGGTGGCACCTTTTTTTTTTTTTTTTTTTGCTCTCTCTATTTATCTACATTTATAGATCAGCAACCCAAGTTCTATCTTAAATGGTGGTTCTGATGAAAAAGACATTAATTCGAAATCGTTATCAACTACAGTCCCTTTTGCTAGTTCATAATCCAACGTGCCCTAGCCCCTTCTTTTTACTAGAAATCTATGCTTATCAAGACTTTCTTGTTTGTATTCTCTTAACAGGTTCTTGGACAAAGCTCTTGTTGCTACTAGTAGTTCTGATGAGGATGGTAAAGCTTGTTGTAAGAGCGAGGTAGAAGAGGCAAAGGCAGTACTGAGACTGTTCCCTGTTTGGGCAACCAGCATTGTATATGCTATTGTCTTTTCACAATCGTCAACTTTTTTCACCAAACAAGGTCTTACCATGGATAGATCATTAGGGTCTAGCTTTTCTGTTCCCCCTGCTTCATTGCAGTCCTTTATAAGCCTCTCTGTTGTTCTTTTTATTCCCATCTATGATCGTATTATAGTTCCTATAGCAAGAGCTTATACCGGGAAACCTGCTGGAATAACAATGCTACAAAGAATAGGGACTGGGATGTTTATTTCCGCCGTCTCAATGGTAATTGCAGCTGTAGTTGAGAGGAAACGTCTTGAAACTGCTCTAGAACACGGCTTGGTTGATATGCCAAACGTTACAGTCCCAATGAGCGTATGGTGGCTGGTCCCTCAGTATGTGCTATTTGGTATTTCAGATGTTTTCACTATGGTTGGCTTGCAGGAGTTTTTCTACGACCAAGTTCCTACCGAGCTGAGAAGTGTGGGTCTTTCCCTCTATTTGAGTGTTTTTGGGACGGGTAGCCTTTTGAGCAGCTTCATGGTCTCCTTCATCGATAAAATTACTGGCAGCAATGGGCAAGACAGTTGGTTTTCAAGCAACCTTAACCGAGGTCATCTTGATTATTTCTATTGCCTACTTGCTGGATTCAGTGTCATTGAAATTACTCTTTTTGCATATTTTGCAAAGTCTTACATATACAATAGAAAGACGACTATATAAAATGATAGTAGAAAGTCTAGTTAGCAAATTGTAAGACTTAAGGGTGAGACTGTAGGTATTAGATCCTAGGATCGAAACCCGTCACTTCCGTAATGTATCATATAGCCTGTTATACTATATTCTATTATGAGCTTCCGAGGAGGCCTAAAGAAAGAAAAAGGGGACGAATCGGTTGGTTTCCCTGATTAAAGCTCTTTATAGTTTTTGATTACCTTGTATTCAAGATCTTTACAAATGTATAGTGTCAATTTTGGTTCGGTTAATGACAGTGGAATATAGTTTTATACTTTTATATATCTTGTTTTTGCTGTTTCTGGAGAAATGTTTTCTTTCCCTTAGAAATGTTTTTGACGATTTATGCTTCATGCCAGCGTATATGAGATTGTAGAGCAGAAAGTCAGCTGGGCCATTACAGTATTACCGATATTTGTTCCGTGTTCTCGTTGGCAAAATTGTATCATATATTTATTTCGGGCTTCGTTGTTTTACCCTTAAGCACTTTTCATAAATCTAATACAGTAACTCTTATTTCAACTTATATAAGCTGATTAGCCCTTTGTGTTATACTTATTTGAATTGTAAATTAAGCTTACGTTGTTGTAACCATAGTCAGGTATGGAAGGAGGCTTTCTCCTCGTAGTTGAGGACCTCGAAAGCAAACTACAACAATCACCGGATTAACATTTCTTTTAATGTTTCTTCATTGTTTATTGAGAAATCTAGGGCCTTTGTTAGACCTAATTAATCTTGGATCCAGTATCTTATTTAAAAATGGTCATAATGATTGCTAAGCAGTAAGTACTCTTTAAAATAGGTTTTAGTGGAGCAATTTTCAGTGTATCATCAAGATCAATATAATTGGATCAAGTTCAAATTGGATCAATTTGGTCCAACCAAAAGTAAATCATAAATACTAGTACTTAAATTTAATGTCAACATTGTTTGTACATTTAGCAAGTTGTAACACTGTCAAATACTGTTCTTTTAAGCACAATCCCCTTCATCTTGAGCTGTATATATGATCTAGTTGTCCATTTCAAAAGCATGATCTTCAGATTTCTTAAATCTAGTCCCAATTTGCCATAATGCACTCGACATGTCTACCTTTACACTCGGTCATACAATTTATCAATGCATAGCGTGTTTTCATTTATATACTTATTTCTGTACACTCGATGTATGATAGAATCTTAGTCAAACCATCGATCACAAATAACAATGCCATCATATTATGATTGTTTGAACTTTGACCTAAAAATAACAAATAAATTTGTCTGGTTGGTAGAAATTAGTTGAATGAAGATTGAATAGTTAATCATGTAAGTTAGTAGAACATGTATTTCTGTGACAGTAAGATCTTACCTGTCATCACAAACACAATAAAGCGTTGCGCAATCATTGGTTGATACAAATTTAACGTAATCTTACTATTATTGAAAATTTGAACAGAACATTCTTTTCCCTAATCTTTCATTATACTATAAAATAAAAATAATCAAAGTATATAAATCTCTTAACTTTGTAGCCGTTTTAGGCACATAGTAGTATATACGAAATAATAAGAATTTATTTTGTTTTTGTCAACTATTAGTCTATTAGCTGTAAACAGCGTACTGAATAATATATAATCCTTGGGCAACTCAATCAGCCTCCTCAAAAAAAGTCTTTTGAGTCATTCAGATGTTATAATTAAATTAAACAATAACAAAGTTTGTTGAATTTGTCCTTTGAATTAGCAGTGATGTTTAGCTGTTCATGCTCTATGATTTTGCCACTCAAGCAATGCAAATCCTGCACAGCCTAATGCATCAAGTCATCATCTTTAAGCGAGCATCTACACAAAAGTGCGTTTGTACTTCCCTAATGAAATATAATAGTCACGTCTGTTATATTGAAATGTTTAGAAAAAGCTGTCATATTACACGCTCCACAAACTTTTGCATCATGTTCAATTTTTCGAATTTACCCGTAAGCTATGAAAGAATATAAATTTGGCTTTACTTTGCCAACAATCTATGTGGATACCTCACTAATCAAATTAAAGCTTTTCTAACCCACAATTATTATTGTATTAGTACTAGTACTTATACAAACTTACTTGATAAACTGCAGTTTCTTAGAATAGAAGTTAGGTTAACATATAAAACGTAGGAATATACGTATAATAAGCTGGCTTAATTGGCACTTGCCAGCAACCTTTGATCTGTAAATTACAATGAGCAACTCCAACACCTGGGTAGCCCCTGGCCGATATATACAGACCAAGTCTACATTTATATACATTATTTTATTCAAATGATAATGATAAATTAAATATTAGACCATCTAATTATTCAATATTATTATATACGAAGTGTTAATGTTGGTAATTGAACTTGAATGATTTATCTAATAAGTAGAAAAAAAGAATACATGTCGGCACGCATAAATTCCACTAATTCATGCAACTTTGTACAAGATTTAGGAGCTACAAATTGAAGAAAATATTATTTAATGGAAAAAAATATAATTGAAGAAATATAGGTTTTTTTTTTTTTTAAGAAAAAAACATCCTTCAATTCAATAATATATACCAAGCTAGCATATACTTTGATACAAAGAAACCACAATTATCTTCATTGATAGCCAAAGTTGATTAGCATTTTTTCATTATTTGTCAACTTTTAATATTAAAAATATATAGAAACATATTTAAAAAAAGAAAGGCTCGTTAATTTATTTGCACAAATCAAGAATGAGAGAAATAATTGAATTTACAGCCAATTTTATATTTAAATTGGATTGTGTTACGTCATAAGATTAGCTACCATATAATAATTTATAGATGTTATAGGGAGGAATCAATTAATTCATCATATTATAAGGTGATGAAAGTAGGGTATATAATTTATTTTAGGGAAATTCTCAACGGTGACCCCCAACTTCTGCTACGCACCAATGGTCACCTCCCTTATTTTTTATTATACAAAATGACCCTAAATTTATCTCACATATAACATTAATGAATGTTATTTATTTAAAAAAAACTAACTATAGTTAACTTTGAAAAAAAAAAATAAAGATAAATAAAAACTAAAAATAAAAACCACCAACCCAGCCACCACCTTCACCCTCATCCCCACCGGATGTAGCCAGCACCACCTCCACCCTCATCGGAGCCACCATCTCCCTACCTCCACCTTCAACCCATCACCGCACAACCCCAGCGAAACAACTCCCTCACACAGCAGCCCGCAACCAAACAGCAACCGCTTCCCACGAGACAACCACCGTCAACCATCGAATAATTCACCCATCCACCAAAAACCGGCCACCCCCACCTGCCCAACCACCATCTCCCTTTCCGGCGAGACCACCTCGACTACTCCCAGACCGCCGAACCCAAATCACGACCACCCCAGATCGCCGAACATAGAACCTCGACCACTCCCAGATCGCCGAACCCAAACAACGACCACCCTAAATCGCCAAACTTAGAACCCCGACCACTCGACCACTCCTAGATCGCCAAACTTAGAACCCCGACCACCCGACCACTGCCAGATCACCGAACTTAGAACCCCGACTACCACCCCCCCAGACCGCCGAAACCAAACATCGACCACCCCAGATCACCAAATTACCTAGAACCGACCACCGATCCTCCTGCTCTCTCTTTCTTCTCCGCCCTCTCCTCCACCCTCTCTCTCTTTATCTTCCACCTTCTCGATCCCCGCCCAGAATCGAAACCTCACGACGAAGTGGCGAGAGGAGAGAGAGTTGTGAGGTTAGGGTTGGTTCGGGTGAAAATCGGGCTTGGCGGTGGTTGAGGTGGAGTTGGCGCAGTGTCACCGGCGGTTGGGGAAGTTCTGGGTAGTGTCGGGGGCGATCGATGGAACCTGGGGTAGTGTTGCCGGAAGGGAGATGGTGGCTGGGCAGGTGGTGGCTGGTTTTCGGTGGTTGGGGTTAATTTTTTTTTTTTTTTATTTTTAAAATAGAAATCTAATAATAGTTAATATTTAATGAAATAAGGTTATGAGTGAGATGAAATTTTTAACTAAGGTTATTTTGTATAATAAAAAAAATGGAGGTGTCCATTGGTGCGTAGTAGAAGTTGAAGGTCACCGATGAGAATTTTCCTTTATTTTATTTAGGCACTCAAAATTTGCTTATCTTTTAGAGTTTTCTAAGGAGATGAGATTTGTCTTATGATTCTAGCTTAATTAGGTAGAAAATTAATAAAATAATAATGAATTTCCAAGGAATTAATTCTCAAAATAATGAATATTCTACACACAAAAAAAAAAAAAAAAAAAAAAAATAAAAAAATTATTCTAATTATTTTTCTTCAATAGTTCAACTTTGTTGAAACCATGATATACTTCGTATAAAATAAGAAAATGGAATAAGGCGGAGCGGCATACCGAAAAAAAGAAAAGCCTTATTCGGATTCGAACCGATAACTTAAGGGCGAACGGATATACTTGAATGGGTTAAGCATATGCCTTTTGACACAAAACAAATGGATCGATCGAGCGAAGGCTTGGTTCCTACCTCGCAGCACCGAGGGAAGCCTTTCATTAAAAACCTCTTTTATGTTATGTATTATTTTTTAAAGATTTCTTTTAGAAAGAAACCTACGAGATGAATTGGACCTCAGCCCGAAGAGCGCTTCCCTGGCGAAGAGATTAAAAAGATGGAACTCCAGCGCACTGATTGAGCTAGCTAGAAGCAGGAACCCCTATTTTAGTTAGGCCAGCTGTAATGTAAACAAAGCAAACCAAAGATTCGTTGGTGTACCGATACCGGTTGACAGCTGCAATTGGCCTTTTCCTACAGTTGACCGATTGCTCCATAAGAGCGGAAAGATGGTCCATTTAAAAGGACGAGAAGCGGTATCGAACACGGAAAAAAAGAGGGGAAGATTTATCCTAAAAGCAACCTTTCCTTTCATTCATTTAAGCGATTCAATCAGTAGGAAAGTCATATCACTGAACACTTTTTAGATATCTGTCTTCCTTATAAGCTGCATGCTATCGGAGAGAGAGCAATGGGAGGTTACACAAAAGCATTTACCACGCACTCAATGCAATGATCAAGCAAGACGAATCTCTTTATATACGCAATTTCTATAAGAGCCTAGCCAGCCCGTCTCTGCAATACTGTGTATGTGTAACAAACCACTTTATGACGAACGAAATTGTTCGTGTTTCTCTCATTTTCTTCTCCCAATCCATTTACTGAGTTACTTACGGAATCTCAAATCTTTCAGAGGTTCGGCTTGCTTCTCCCCCTTGGAAACTGGCTAATCAAAAGA